GAGAGAGAGAGAGAGAGAGAGAGAGAGAGAGAGAGAGAGAGAGAGAGCTCATTACTTGCTGCTCGTGTGAGTGCAGGCTGCTCAGCGTCGACTGCAGGCCTGACTTCTTGGGAGGGTCCGGGCGGTCGTGGCTACAGTGATGTATGGGCAGATGCATCAAATCGCACAAGATAAACAAGCGATGAGTTTCATCAGGGCCATCATAGCTTTAATTTGGCTGCCTAATGAGTCAGATCTAGTGGCGGAGATAAGAGTTGTCAGAGGCCCAGCTCTAATGAATTTCTTGCCACTTGTAATCAAGGTTGCCTGTCTGAGGGGGGATGATTAATGGAACCCTGGAGGATTCCCTCGGCCCTCAGCCTTCATTACAGCTAATGCATTCTCAGGCAAATTAACAGAGAAACGCAGGCAAAAGCCAACGGGGAAGGAGAGAGGAGAGAAGGGGGAGAGAGTGATGGGAACGGAGCGTTTATGTAAGACAAAGGAGAGAGAGAGAGAGGGGAGGATGAGGAGGAAGACGGTGCGGATGAAACAGCAGGAGAAGAGGGGCGGAGAGGCAGGGATGCGCTAAAATCTGCTGATTAGCGAGCGGGTTCAAGGATATGGAAATGAAGACATGAGCTTTGGGTCAGATGGAGAGGAGCAACATGGACGCACTGGTCAGACATGATGGAGCTGAAATTGATAAATGGATGTTCAGGTCTGGGGGGCATTCGGGAGGGCAGAGATGGTTCGGCTGGAAGGAGCAGCGTGGATATAATTATTGGTTAAAGAGGTTGAAAGGGTGAAGGGAAGGAGGAGAAAACAGGGAGCGACATGTCCAAATGAAGACAAGCTTGACACAAACATGTGAGACAAACGGCACCTTAAAGCAACATTTACGTTACGACCATCACCGACCGCTCGCTAAACAGGCTGTTCAAGTGGCCTGTGGCCAAGCAGCCCCCTACATGTTATGGAAATATGGATTTAATGTTTGCAAATATGGTCTCGTCAGGTCTTTGTGTACTCATCCATCAGCCTCAGACCCACCTCTGCAATCTTGGAGGCAATTTGTCTGAGAAGAGGTGGGCGGCAGAGAGCCCTCCTCACTGTTTAGCAGGCCCTGATGAAATATCAAAACACACAGAGCAAGCGAGCGCTCCAGTCTCACCACAACAAACACAAGTGGCCCGGGACTGCCAGGGCGTAATAAATTACAGGACATGCACTTTCAGTGACATTTCTCAAGAGATGTGGAAGGAATGTGATTCAGTTTAGGATCATTTAAGCGATTAAAATGTTGATGTTCAAAGCCCATGAAGACTTTAAAAGTTATAATAAATATCTTTTTTATATTAACAATGGATCACATTAATGGGTTTATGTGAAAGAGACTATCGACCGACAGACCTGAATTCTAGAGCAGTTTTAGCATCTTTTATCTTTTTTTTTTAGCCCTCACTTTACTTTTTTTGGTTCACTCTCAGCGTTTTCAAGCATAAAACAAAAGCTCTAAAAACTCACTGTGCGCTACCTGCTCAACACTAAGTAGCAAGCAGTTAGCGATAGCTGGTGAACATAGCGGAGATTTTAGCCCTTAAAGAGACAGATATTTCCCTCATGAGTTGGTAGAGACAAAACAAAAAACAAAGCTAAAAAAAGTGAATATTGAGGTTCCATCTGTCAGGGTAACATAAGCTAACTGAAACCTAAGGTTGCTTCATATCGGCTGGATGTGTAAATAGGCTAATATTTGCTAATATCAACTGAAAAGGTGAAGATACGTCAATGTTGTGTTTACAGCTTTACTGCTCCAAAGTGGCCCGAAAATCACTCGATGGATGTTAAAAGTTTTCCTCAATAACACTGAATATTCGGGCCAAATGTACAATCTAAGTTAAATAAAGATAAGTTATAGTTTATAAATATATAATTTATTTTACAGTAAAAAGCCCAGCTAATGTGCTGCAATAGGTCTGTACAGTAACCAAACAACTGTCATCAGATTCTGATTCAAATATTGCTTAATGCTGATTGGTGCAGGGATATTTAATGTCACCCTTTTTCTAAATGAGCCACGCCCACTTCAAACCAGTGAGAAGAGATCAGAGAAACAAAGAAATCTTTCATGTGAAATATCCACTGTTTATTTAGGCAGGGCTCCATTAGTGCTAGAAAGGAAGCTGATTGATAAAAAAGGTTTTTGGGGGCCTTAAAGCGTGACCCTGAGGATTGTGGCTCCATGTCGAGCCAGCGCAGAGGAAGGAAGAGGAAACACTGAAGAGAAACCAGGTGATGAGGCTCAGACAAAGCCGGCCAACAGAGAGAGGAAGGGGATGAAGATATGCTGAGACCAGATTAGCAGGAAATAAGAAGTAGATTAGTGAGGGCTCGACTCCTCTCGACACTGAGACCTTTCACTTTTCCCCACGGCGTTGTGCTGCCTGACACTAAGCCCGGCTTCTTTATCTTAATCCTCTTTCAGCGAACTGTTGGGGGTCCCACAAGCAGGAAGCGGAGACAGGCTGCTTTACTTACCTCCAGATAGGCTCAAATGATTTGCCTCGGACACATTCACGGGAACTCCTTCCGGTGATGTCGGATTTCTCCAGGGAGTTTGATGAAGGAACATGCAAAAGGGGAAGAACATGAAATGGTAGCGCTAGATGAAGGGATAGTGATGCTTTTAATTTGAGCGTCTCACCTCGTCAAAAGGTCATGCGCGGATGGATGACGGATGAACACACACACACTAGACAGATGTGTTGATTTTCCCCTAAATGCAGGGAAGGCTACATCGTTTTTATTTGAGTGTTTATTAATAGGTCAACAGTCAGCTGAGCATCCAAGCGTACAACAAGTTACTCTTTAGCTTTTGCTTCGTTTCACGTTCTCAACGTAAAAAGGAATTACAATAGGAAAATTAACTTGAACAACAAAACAAAAAACAAAAAAAAGATATTTACAAACTGCATTATAAATATGTCAAATGTACATCATTATACACAAGTACCAAAGATGGTCGGTTCATGGTCGAGACCAAACAGAAGTACCGTAAAAATATGCCTAAGGAGAAACAGAAAAAAACAACATATCAAAATATGGTTCGTGGGTCAAAAGGGACCGTTGACCTAAAACCAGTTTAGCTTGTTTCTCGAGGAGGAGCTCGTCTTCAGATAAAAGCATGAAGCTAATATTTACACGTCCATGTTGTGTCTGGGGGGGGGGGACAGGCAGGTCTCTCGTGTTTTCTTCATCATCTACATTATGTAAATAAGGGTTCAGGTAGTCACTATATACTCCTCTCAGTAATCCCCTCGGACACTGAAACGTACTCATTGAAATAAATTGGTCAAGTAGAAATCAGAAATAAGGCCGGTACCACTGCACAGCACACATCCATCTGAAGCTATGTGGTTGAATGTGTGGTCGGTTTTGGGATGTCTCAAAGAAATAGAAAGACATTTTGAGAAATGTGCTTTCTTGCTGAGAGTTAGATGAGAAGGTCAATGCCGCTGGCCTGCCTGTGCGTTGAGTATGGAGCTAGAGCCAGGAGGCTGTTAGCTTAGCCTAGCTAGCATAAAGGCCGCGAGCAGGGAGATACAGTTGGCGTGTTCGAAAATCCGCCCACAAACACCTCTGGAGCTTAAAAATAAACATGCTCTTTCTTGTTTGTTTGATTTGAACAAACACTGAAAGAGTTTTAGAGTGAGTAACTTGGTGCGACTTTATGCTAAGCCTGGGCTAACTGTTTGCTGGGCTAAGCTAATCGCCTTCTGGCATCAGCTCCGAATGAAACACAGACCTGGGAGTGCCATCGATCTTCTGATCAAGAAAGCATATTTCCAGAAAATGTCAAACTATTCTTTTACTATGTCGTTATCTCATCGATTTACAAACATCCTCTTTTGACCACATCTTCAAAAACATGAAACAGAATCCTGAACATAAGGTACAAAAACTTTGCTCTGTAAACACACATCCTGCCTTTGTAAACCCATAAAATCAAGATGGTTAAAAACCTTAAAAATGGCAGTTGAACAAAAAGCAAACTGCAACTTCTTACCGTTACTATAAATTAATCTGTTTATCATGTCAGTGTACTGTACATTTGTATTAACGCAAAGAGAGGCAAACTAATGTAACATCCCTCTATAAATCTCCTTTTGCTCATTTTCAATCCCTAAATGTCTCACTTCTGTCACTTAAATGCATTTTTGTTAATTCCACGCTTCTTAGGCTGACACACAGGTTTAAGGAAAAAAGGAAAGTCAGAGACTGTTTCTTATAAGGAGTAAGGTGAATGAACAAGAACTACTTTTTTTTTTTTACAGACGGCTGTACATTAAAACACAGGTATGTTCATCTTGCACTGCAGGTGTCTCCTCGAGGTTTATGAACTAAAATGCCTGGTCGCTCTCTGCTGCACGCGGTCACAGACGAAGACGTAAGCGTGTCGAACAGTAATGCATGGACGCGCACACACACACACACACACACACACACACACACACACACACACACACACACACTGTACCATATGTGTATTTCACAGCAACAAAAGAGGAAACGCTCTGGAGAGTACCGCTTATACAGCCTTTTTGGCCACAGGAGGAGAATGGATATTCCAGTATCTATCTATCTATGTCAAACAATCAACAGCACAATCTAGTCAATCGGGGAAAAATTACTCCAACAAAGACGTTGTTAACGGTACGATTTTCACTGTTTCAATCAAACGTTTGAGTTTGAATGAATTTTGATTGAAGAGGCACGCTTACGAAGCCACGTGGCTCGATGGTAATAAAACATTGTGCCCCTTAATTCCTTTATAGTCACGGACACTTTCACTGGTGGATCACGACAAGGGAGGCGAAGGAAATGACTCACTTTCTCCCCCGATAGGAATTCTGCAATTAACTCCTTTATGATGATCCAAACCCATTTTCCTGTGAATTACGTGTCTAAATCATTTGGACTCTTCAATTATAATTGCTTTGCCTTTGTATATGAAAAGTGTGTCACGAGTTTGATCGCCGTGTTGAAGACATGCATCATTACTAAAGCTGCAACAGCCATTGAGATCATGGAAGGTTTAGTTTCTTTCCCACATCAGTGTTTTTGTCACTTGTACAATATTCCTCACAGTTTTATTATTATGCTTTAGCCTTGGAAATTTGAAGGAAGTTTCTCATTTCAAGCTCATTATAAAACCGGTTCGCGTCGCGGAAGGGGAAGACATAAAGAGGAAATGTTCAAGCATTAGGGAAATGCTTTTCGTAGGGAAGGTACGAATGCAAAAGTAAGTCATTTGTTTGGTTGGCGCTTAAAAAACAAAGAGCTTAAAGCTGATCGTGATCATTTCAGACCAAGATTGAACAAATTTAACGAATACAAAATAATAATATAAAACAAACAATGTACAATGTCTGAACAGCCACTTCTTTCGGCATAGTGGAATATAAACAATGAGTCCGTCGCTCCGGATTTCTCTCCGTTGGTACTGATTCTGGGTCACACAGAGGAGGAAATGCTGGGGAAGGGGGCGAGCGGGTTTCGGGTTCTTTCGTGCGTTTGTCCGCGGCTGCTCGTCGGCTCCTACATGATGCTGATGCTGCGGTTGAGCTCACACTGGGCGTTGTTGTTGTTGATGTTGGGGTTGGGGTTGCGGCGGCTCATGTTGGGCGTGGCCACGGACGTCAGGCTGCTCGTGTCGTTGGGGCAGCCGTGCTGAAGTAAGATGTCGCCGCACTCCTGGCTGCCGGCTCGCCGGGCATAGGACAGCGTGGTCTGGCCACGAGCGTCACGACTCTTCACGTCTACACCGTACTGTGGGAGAAGATGACGGGTAGGAAAGGCAGATCAGACATAAGATTTGTATATATTTGGGGGAAATTCCAAGGAATTTACAGACATGTATCAAGATTTAATAAATGGTCATACAAACAGTATGAGAATTCCATTTAATATGCTTTATTTGATTGAATACAAAATGCAATGCAAGCACGGTGTAGTTGAACTATTCTTTCGGATTCTAATCAGAAGCTCATTATAGTTTCCGCCTTCTCTTCCTCCATTTTTCTCTTCACTGTCTACAATCAGAGCTGCGTCTATCGCAAGACGTCTTTGTTTACTGCAACCTGCACTGATCTTCCTCGAACAGGTAGCACAAAAACTTTTGGGTGAGTCATAATGAGTATGTGGCTACTATTTCCATCTAATGTCTTACTACTGAGGTAGATGTATTTTCTGTTAAAAATTGGGGTTTTAGCATCCTCCTGGGAATTAACACGGTACATTTAAAAAGCTATATTTTTAGACTTAAAATGGACTGCTGTCAAAGGGCAACAAAATAAATAGATGATTCAGTAATTCTCATTTATTCCTAACAGCGTGGAGCGAGCTTTAAAACAGCATTGAAACGGTCAGGTTGGGAAATAAATGGTAACGCTTTATTTTACGAGTCTGCAGATTCTCAGCACTTTCCTCGGGTGTTTCTTGGAAAGAAGTGTGCAATCTAACACCAACTGTAGCTGTGACATTCATTTTAGTTAGAGTTGAGTTAGTTGTGTTAAGTTTTATAGGCAGTTACTTCCTTTAAGGAACGGCTCCTTTTAAATTAAACTTGCAGAAAATATAATTGAACAATAAAAATCCCAATCATTTAACATTTTTAGACACTTGAATGAGAAACTGGCACATCTGGTAATGTTAAAGAGGTTTGCAGGTTGTTGGGAAGTCTTTCTTTTCACACTTAAACTCCTAAAATCACTTACCCAAACACTAAATGCCTACAATAACAACGTTCATCCACCTCTGACCGTTCACCCTCAAAGCCGGAGAGGCCAACTCACCCAGATGAGCAGCTGCGTGATCACCACGTTGGCCATTGCGCAGGAGAGGTGCAGAGCGGTGCGTCCGTCTCCGTCCCCGTAGGTCTCGTTGACCTCCTCCTTGGTGCCGTGGGCCAGCAGCACCACCACCAACCTCAGGTCGTCCTCCACCACTGCCCGAAGCAGCTGCTGCCCCAGGGGCACGTCGGACTGGGGCAGCCCCACCAGGAACACCTTCTGCTCGTACTTGGCTCGGATCCAGCGCTCCTTCTCCTCCCTGGAGAGAAGTGAATGACAGGGATGCTGCAGGTCATGGCGCGGTAAATCATGGCGAACATATGTGCACGACTATGAGCAACTTAGCACATGAGTTAAAGAACTTTTAAACACACATCTCATAAGCCAGAGGCAGTGATCTTGAGACAAAGCCATGTGGCAAAGGTAGAATGTAGACACATACGGGAAGTGTTGAAGTAATTGGTCTTAGAGACTCACTTAAGTGAAGTTTCTAAATGATTAGAGCACAGGAAAGCCACTCGCCTCCTCTATCAAAGCGGGAAACGATACAGCGAGATTGGCTGCAGAGATGAGAGAATGCCAAAGGCTGCGACGCTTTGGGCAATATTCCACTTTTCTAGTGATTAAGGTCGACAGCAAGACGGTTAGAGCCTGGCCGGCTTTCTAAAGGTTACACATCTCGAACAGCGTGTCTGCTGCTGACAATACAGGAAGGAGGGGGACGTAGTTTTTTATCAGCGCTGTCGGCTGTCAGTCTGAACCGGTGGATCCCCTCCACAAAAGAGGCAGTGTGTGTCTCCAAAGCCCCGGTCTCCCTCGGGGCGGCTGGGCCCTGAGTCAGATCGATGGGGCTGAATGGCAGCCAGAGAGGGACAGCGGGATGCGGGGCTCCTCCACTCCAGCATGCAGCAGAGAATAGAGGCAGAGGGAAGGCTCCGTCCTCTATCGCCAGGCAGAATTATATCTATTGCTCTCCATCTTGACCCCCCCCATTTCATTCTCTGCCCACATACAAACTGTCCAAATAAGAAAGAGGGAAAAAAAAATAAAATAAAAAATCAATATGTGAATGACTGAGCATGCCCAGTGTGGCACTAACCCCGCGACCCTGTCAGCCAGCGTGATAAGGGGAGCAGAAAGAGGCTGTTGTTTGGATTCGCGGGTGAGTGACAGAAAGGAGAAGGTTTGCACGGATAAGTTGAAGCGGAGACGCTGGCGAGAGTGACAAGGCTCTCATGGGACTCTATCAACGGGCCGAGGCTTTGCAGCCAAGTGCAAGCTGACAATCAAGCTCACTTCAATTCCGTTTCATCATAATCACAGTGACAACAAACTCCAACGGTACAACTTAATTACCAAAATCAACCAGAAACATCCCATCTACACATTCAATTATATATTTATCATCATATATTAAAGGGTTGGTTCCCCCCAATTTACAAAAGCCCTATTTAGCCACACACACACACACACACACACACACACACACACACACACACACACACACACACACACATACACACACACACACAATATTTCAGTCTTCCCTATACTCTGTGGCTCTCAGCCCCGTGCTTACATCGACTGAAAACCAGCTCACACATTTTTGGTTTCATTTTTTTAAAAGGCTCAGTAATTTCTTAAAACGTCAGAGCACTGTAGTTTTTACTAAATGTTACTCACACAGCAGTAAATGGTGCATTTGTTGGGGACTATTTTCAGCTGTGGATCAATACACATTTGATACTCTGAAGTTTCTTAAGAGTTATTGAACAACAGTGACGGTCTATGGCTCCTCAGACGATACTCTTTAGTAAAATCAACTTGTTAGTTCTGAACTTTTCATGGGATTTGTAGAAAATTTAAAAAACCAAGAATATTTCCAGCCTTATCCTTTAAAAAATAAATAAACAGCAATATCTCCCTCCTAAAACAATGCCCTGTAGTTACTCTAGATAACCCACACACCTCGCCGGATAGACTTTCTAATGATGATATAGTGCCTGCTGAAAAAGTGCAATTAGGACAATGTCAGGGTGATACCTCAAAAACCTGCTTGAGTAAAAACCCAAAACTAGAACCACTAGAAAATAAAGGAGATAAAATAGGTAATCTCGTCATTTGTGTGAACTGACCTGAGCACGTCCCCAAATAGCACATGTTCAATTACAGCAGCAGCTTTAACAATAGTAGCCAGTTCAACATTAGTCACTCTCCTCTATTACGACCTTATAGCAGCTAGGTGTCAGGGCTGCCAACTTACCACAGACAGCAACCATTTTCAGACTCATATGTCAGCTGCCAGGCTCACTTCACAGAGCAGTCTGTCTTGCACAGAGGAGCCTGGCACCGGCCCTAACTGCAGGAGTTAAGGATATGATGGAAGAGGTGCAGGACTTTATCAGCTCCCCGGCACGGATTGATTAACTGCGAAACGCCAACGGAAGCTCGTAAAGCAACTTAACCCACATCTTTAAAATCATCCTAACTCTATTGCGTTTATAAGCATACGGGTGCATTTTTATTATGACCTCGAGGAAAACGTGGAGGGGAAAGTCCTTTACCCATTTACCCATCAGACAATCTTTTCTTAAGGGTATACGGGGTATTATGTGAGCAACAATACAGCCCTAATGGCAGGCAATTGCAGTGGCTCAGAGTTTTATGGTGTAAGACCTCCATCAATCCCCACTCAGTCATTATGTGTGGACAAGCCTGTTAGCAAATCAATTGGCCTTAGAACCAGAGGACTGCTCAGAACAGGAAGGGGCCGTTCTGCCCTCCCCTCTTATTTCCGGTGGACTCTTTGAAAACAAGTGTTTTTGTTTTTTACTGCCAAAGAGGATAAAGTATGTTTAAAAACTCTCTAACTAACTGTAATCCTGAAGGCAAAAAAAATCAAAAAAATCTACAACCTTTAACAAAAATGTGAGCATGGTTAAAATCAATCACTTAGAGCTGTTGTGCAAAGTTTGTTTCAGAAAGCTGGACCATGAATGAGATGCTGAATCTGTAGAGCCCAGTGAATTGATATGAGCTAAATGAGGCAGAAAGTTAGCAGCGAGATGCGAAACAAAAAGGCTGAGGAGAGCCATTAAGAAGACGTCAACATCTCAGAAAGGAGCCCTGAGGACACTTTGTTAGCCTCCGCTACGAAAATCAGCCCCGAAGACCTGCAGGGGGAAAAAAAGGCCTCACTCACTGCTGATGCTGAGCTCTCAATTCAACCACAGTTATTTTTTACGTCGTCTACTTTTACAAAAAGCAAAACCAGCCGGACAGAGTTTTTTTTTTTGTTTTTGGGGGAAAATTCCTAAACCTCTGCCACTTGAAAGCCAGAGCGTGAAAGGAAGTGAAATGGTAATCCTGCCTCTGTCTTTTGTTTGCAATAGAAAAAAACAATCCAAACAGAGGTCGGGTTTAGACGGTCAGGGGGAAAACTGAGACCCTTGAAAAGGACACTTCCTCACCGCAGGAGGAAGAAAAATAAAATCAGCAGATTTAGCATGTCAAAGCGCCAGGACAGAGTAGGAGGGGAGGTGGAGAGGGAAAGGAGAGGGAATTTTCACAGCATGGGGGGATATTTAGGAAATTGAACCGATGGTTACTCTTATACACACACACACACACACACACACACACACACACACACACACACACACA